GGGGGCGCAGGGGCGCCGGGGGAGCCTTCCGCTGCCCCCCAAGCCCCAGTTGCGGCGCGAGGCAGCAGTGGAGGAGCCGGATGCAGGGCCGGGGCCTGGGGGCCGTGGGGGCCCCTACCGCCTGGTGCTGCTGGGGGAGCGTGGCGTGGGCAAGACGGCGCTCGCCACGGCCTTCGCGGGGACCCCACCTGGGCCCCCCGCTGATGACGAGCCCCACGGTAAGTGACAGCCCTTGCCTCCCTCCCCTGGCCTGGGGAACAGGAGGCAATTATGGGGGGGATTGTTGGGGGGCAGTTTTAGCAGGGGCACTTGCCCATCTTGTTCTATTTTAGGGGCTATTGGGAGGGTATTTTGGGTGGTTTATTGTTGGGGAGGCTTTGGGGAGGACTGCTTTTGGGGGCAACTGTTGTGAGGTTGTGGGGAGAGCAATTAAGTGGGGGTAATTGAGGGGCATTTGGGGGAGTAATTGTTGGGGGACACTTTTAGGGGGGCAATTAAGGGGGGGTGGTTGAGGGGGGTGGTGCTTCCCCTTACGGGGCAACTTTCCTCATCGAGGGGGACATGGGGGCAATTGTTGGGGGGGTTGATGTGGTGGGGGGTCTGGGGGTACGCCATGGCTGCCTGATGGGGTTGGGGGGGCAAATGCAGTGGGGTGGGGGGCTTTTTCCCTATGAGTTTTGGGCAGGGCATTAGTTAGGACCACATTTGGAAGACCCTGTGGGGGAGGGCGCTCCTTGGGCCCCATGATATTGGGTGGGTCCCATCTGCTGCCCCAGGACATATGGGGGGATTCGGCACCACCCTAATGCTCCTCTTGCCCCCACCAGAGGACTCCTATGAGCGGCGCCTCTCAGTGGACGACGAGGAAGTGACCCTCATCGTCTATGACATTGGGGACCAGGTGGGTGGGGATAATGAATGCAAAACAGATATGAGTAGACAGGGTCAGTGTTGGTGCAAGCAGGGAATCCATGGGGCAGCATGGAGGACATGGCATGCAGATTAATGCAAATGAAGGGGTGGGGTATGAAAATTAGCACCACATATAATAATTAACATTTAACTGTTGTGGGGTGAGGGGGAGATGTTTCCTGGCCCCAGTGGGGTTAATCGCATGCAACTTTATGGAAACAGTTGCATGTTTATGCCACCCTGCTGTGGAACAGATTTCTTTTTTTTTTTTTTGGCCAAAAAAAAAATAAAAAGGGGAGTGGGTGATGGGGGGGGGTGTATTAAAGGCACAACCATACTATGCAAATGCATGCACATCTGCAGGCAACTTATGCAAAGGTAAGTTGTATCTGCAAGTACTTGCAAAACGATGCAGATCTCGGGTGAAAAAAAAATTGTGCAGGGGAGAACTGCTGAGTGAATAATATATGCAAATGCCTGCTGCAGAGGCGGGGGAACTTATGCAAATGCATGCACATGAACAAGAGGAGGCCAAGGTGCCTGACAACACTTGGTCTGGCAATGGAGGGGATTTTGGGGGTGGTAATGACATAGCACAGGGAACATCCCCGTCCTGAAGTATGCAAGTATATTTGGGGGGAGCGCGAAGGGACTGTATGCAAATGAGCATCAGGAGGCCAAGGTGCAACACTTGGTCAGGCCACGCAGGACGAGGTTGGATCCAGGGCTGGGGCAGGGGAGGATTAATGTGCACCCTAATGTATGCAAATGTGTGCAAATGCAGGGTGAGGCAGGCGGGTGGTTGCAGGAGTCCTGTGTGCGCACAGGTGATGCCTTCCTCCTTGTCTTCTCCGTGACCGACCGCAGCAGCTTCTCCCGCCTGGCACCTGCCCTACGCCGTCTCCGCGCAGACAGCCCCCGGCCCGACCCGCCCATCATCCTCGTGGCCAACAAGAGTGACCTGGCTCGCGCGCGCGAGGTCTCCCTTGAGGGTAAGCCATGCCCCCGACTCCCTGCCCCTCCCCCTCCTCCCTGCAGGGGCTAGTGGGGCAGGAAGTGCCCCTTTAAGAGAGACCAGGGATGTGCAGGAACTGCACCCTTTAAGAGCAAGGTGGGGCAAACAGGGACCGGCCCTTTAAGAGCAGAGGCTGGCAGAGGGTGCAGATGGGTAAACAGGAATTGATCCTTTCAGAGAGGAAGCAGGGGAAGTGCAGGAACTGCCCCTTTAAGAGTGGAGGCAAGCCCTACAAGCCCCTCCCCACCAGACTGCCACACATGCACCCATCACTCCCTTTTACTTCTGCCCTGCCAAACCCACCCCGCCACCCCTAGGACTCCCCCCCCCAACACACATTTCCTGAGGCCCGTTAACTCTGCATCTACTAGTACTTCCCCTTTAAGAGACTCTTAAAGGCACAGGTGATTTTTTTTCCTGGGCGAGTTAGCAGGGGGCACTGAGGGTTTTTGCTGCTCCCCCCTCCCCCACAGAGGGCCGGAGCCTGGCAGTGATGCTGAGCTGCAAGCACATCGAGACCTCGGCTGCGCTGCAGCACAACACGCAGGAGCTCTTTGAGGGTGCCGTGCGCCAGATCCGCCTCCGCCGCGGCCATCCGGGGGGCGATGCGGCCGGCGGGCGCCGCGAGAGCCTCACCGAAAAGGCCAAGCGCTTCCTGTCCAGCCTCGTGCCTCGCAACGGGCGCTTCTTCAAGCAGCGCTCCAAGTCCTGCAATGACCTCTCTGTGCTGTGATGCTGGCCCTTTAAGGGCAAGCCAGCAGTTGCAGTCCCCTTTCAGAGGAGTGGGTGGATGGGAGCCACTCCTTTAACAGAGGTGGATGGGCAGAAGCCACACCTCTGGCCTGCCACTCTCTCAGGAGAGGAGTGGTGTGGGGGAAGGCACTGTCCCTTTAAGAGGTGGTCTTGCCCCAAAGCCCCTTTTGCCTCCACCCCCCCACCCCCCATGGGCACCTGCCAGCTGGTACTCGATTGTTCTCCTCCAGCGTGCTGTGTTTCACCTTCAACAGATCTTAACCACACCGTGGCTGCTGGATGTTAAAGACAGTATGGCATGCTCTGTTCGGTGTCTGCCATACCCAAGCACTTCACCTTTAAGATGTTAAAGGCACCTGGTCAATCTGGTTTGCCCGGTAATCACAGCCTCGCATTTTTTTTGTCCTCCAGTCCTCTGCTTCTCCTCTTGGAGAGACTTAAGGGGGCTGTGACAGTTGGACACTCATGAAAATCTGGGTTCATGTAACTTACCTTTAAGGGGGGTCTTAAATGAACCATGGCACTTAGGGAGCCAGTGCACTGGATTTAGATGTGGCCTCTGTAGGTATGCACTGCCCCCTTAAAGGGTCGTAAAGGCATTGCATCAATCAGACACACTGGGAGGCCTTTTTTTGTCCTGGGTGTGTTTCTTCTTAAGCTACCATTTCACTTTCATGAGAATGTTAAAGGTAAGCTCCAAGTTACCTACTCTTTTTCACTTTTGTATCCTTCCCCTTTAAGAGATTGCTGCTGTTTTTGTGCTGGATTAATATCCTCCTGCCTTTTTAAAGGGTTCCTCACTTTATTTTTTGTACCCCTCATCTTTAAGAGGGTTTTAAAGACACAGGGCCTATTTCATATGGGTGTTTGCAACCCCTCACCTCTGAGGGCTTTTGCACAGGACACTTACAGCCAGCTCTATGCCCCACACCGTTAAGAGGATTTATTCTTGTCCTCTGCACTCAAACTCCCTTTTAAGGGGGCATTTAAAGGCACCGACTTCAGAATGTTTTTTGGGACACTGAAAGCTGTTTTAAACATTAGTTCTAACTCTTTACCTTGGACACTTGTGCATCTCCTTTAAGAGTCTTGAAGTCACTAACTTTGGTCTCCTTTATGAGGGAATTGATTACTTTTTAGCACCCTCCAGGTCTGTGCAACTTCCCTTTAAAGTACCCTTTAAGGCCATCATCTTGATCCACCCTTAAGTGCCACTTTCCAATAAAGGGAGAATGGTAGATTTGTTGTTTGTGGCCCTCCACTTTAAGACCATTCTTTAAGGCACAAGGATGGGAGGAGATGGCCCTGGATGACTTCCCGCTGGACTGTTTGTCTGTTAAACTTGTGACTCTCCTTTCGGAGAGACTCTTAAAGGCACCAAACCAGGATCACCTCCTTTGACTACTTCTGCATCATCTGTCCTGGAAAACAGACCTGCCCTGCAGGAGCTCTTAAAGTCACAGACTCAAGGACAGACAGCTGTGGAAGGAAAAAAAAGACTTTCTGCTAATTTTGGAACTAGCTGCCTGCTGTTTTGAACATCACCTTTTAAGAGAGTCCTAAAAGGTGTGGACCTGGGAGTTTTCCTCCACAACCTGAGCAGCTCTGTGCCATGCTCTTTTAAGGGACAACTCCATGGGATACCCCAGCCTTCACTCAACTCCCCTTTAGAGACTCTTAAAGTCACAGGCGCTTTTTTTCTACACGGTTCTCTGCTTTAATGTCTAACAGGTGGTGGGAGCCAGGCCAGGGCTGGCTGGACATCCCCTCACCCCAGCACCTTGGTGGGGACTTCAGTGCCCCCCACAAGCTATCGCGGGACTGGCAGCCATAGTGGCTTCCTGCTCTTAATAAAAAGCCATTTTCTACAGGAGTCCTGCCTTGCCTCTTTCTAGGGCCGGGGGGGCATAGACTTGGGGAAAAAAAGCGAGAGCATCCTATCACCATAGAAACAGCCTTGGAGCTGTGGTTTCCATGGAAATGGGAAGCATATCAGGCTGCCATAGCAACAGAACTGGCTCCAAAAGGGGTGGGGGGGCGGATGGGCCCTATGGGAGCCCCAGGTCAGCGGGGCAGGGATGACTCAGGCTGACGCACGAAGATGCTCTTGGGGCTGGGGGGAACACAAAGGATGTGTCATTACTGAGAGGCAGGAGTGAGGGGCATTGGCACAGCTGGCAGGGTGGCGGGGGCCATAGGTTGGCAGTGAGGGGCCCCAGCAGGGCAGAAGGAGCCCAGGAGTATGGGACATCCCAGGTGCAACAAATAGAAACAAAGAAGCCTGGGGATACCATGATCCCTGCCCCCGCAGCAGTGTCTCTCCCCCGCCCCCCCGATCTAGTCTAATTCATGCCCCTCCCCCCACAGGAGACCCCGACACCCTGGTGGGTTTTTGTGACTTTTTTTATTATTATTTGTTTCGATAAAGAAAAAAACAAAAATAAATGAAGAAAAGATCAAAAGAAGAAAACAATTTGTCGGCAGGGGGAGGGGCATGGGGGAGGGCAGCCAGGCTGGGGTCCATACCAGCC